CTTCAAGAGAAACAAAGATGAATTAGGGGAGTCTGAGGAGAAGAGGCAGAGGTGATGATTTAAAGAAGAAATGGCTGAAAACCACCCAAATTTTAAGAGCGATCTGGACATCCAAGTTCATGAGCTCCATGGTCCTTGAAGTCCTCAAACATATCCAACTCAAAGCGGACTTCCAGATAACATAAACTGTCAAAAAGTCCGAGAGAACATTTTGAAACAGCAAAAGAAGAGAGACTCGTCACATACAAAGGAAACTCCTTTAAGACATGAGTGTATTCCTCAGCGGAAACTTTTCAGCCAGGAGAGAGGGAGATGATGTATTCAAATACTGGAAAGGTCAGGGCTGGGAAGGGGCCATCAAGAACATCTAGCACACAGAAATGAAGCAGGGATAAGGATTTTTTCCACACAGACAAAAACTGAGAGTGTGCATCACCACTAGACCTGCCTAACAAGAAAATCTAAAAGTCGTTCTTCAAGCTGAAAAAGGCCATGTTAATTAGCAACATGGAAACATGTAAAAATATAAAGCTCAATGGTAAAAATTAAGTATACGAATATAGTCAAACTCAGAATACACTAATATTGACAATATATATCATTTTTAGCTATAACATAAATGCTATTAAATGGCCAAGGCTCTTGACATAACTATAAATACCATTTACTAATAGATACATGATAATAAAGTAAATTGTGATGTCAAAAACTTTAGAGGAAGGAATATAAGTACAGTTTTTGTATGTGACTGAGGTTAAGTTGCTATCAGCTTAAAACAGATTGTTATAAATATAAGATTTTTAAATATTTATTTTCATTTTCTATTTGAAAGCAGAAAGACAGAAATCTTCCATTCGCTGGTTCACTTCCCAAATGCCTGCAACAGCTGGGACTGGAATAGGTGAAGCCAGAAATCCAAAACTCAGTTTGGGTCCGCTGTATGAGTGGCAGGGACCCGAGTACTTGAGCCATTACCTGCTGCCTCCTGGAATGCACATTAGCAGGCAACTGGATCAGGAGTGGAACAGCCAGGACTCGACCAGACATTCCAATATGGGCTGTGCGCACCCCAAGCAATGTCTTTATGCTGTAACAAATGTCTGTCCCTAAGATGATTTATATAAGCCCCATAATAAAGTAGAAACCTATAATAGAAACACAAAAAGCCAATCAAACACATATACACAAATAGCAAGAGGGAAAAAGGAACAAGAAAACTATAGAACTGTCAGAAAACAATAAAATGGAACTAGTAACTTCTCACATATCAATAATTACTTTAAATGCAAATGTACTAAATTCTCATATGTAAAGACATAGCATGGCTGAATGGATTAAAGAATAAGACTCAGGGCCAATGCTGTGGTGTAGTGGGCTAAGCCTCCACCTGTAGTGCCAGCATCCTATATGGGCTGCTCCTTTTCTGATCCAGCTCTCTGCTATGGCCTGGGAAAGCAATAGAAGATGGCCCAAATCCTTGGGCCCATGTGCCCAAGAGAGTCTCTGAAGAAACTCCTGACTCCTGGCTTCAGAACAGCTCAATTCTGGCCAATGCAGCCATTTGAGGAGTGAACCAGCAAATGGAAGATTGCTTTCTCCCTCTCTCTCTCTGTCTCTGCCTTTCTCTATAACTCTGTCTTTCAAATAAATAAAAAAAAATTTAAAAATAGAGGATACTGAACAAAATAAAGCATGCAGAAAGAAGCCCACACATACATAACAAATTTGCAATTCAATGGAAAAAATAGGCCTTTTTTCAGTAAACGGTGCTGGAACACCTGGATACCCACATGTAAAAAAAAAAAAAAAAAAAAGGAACTTCACTCTATATTCCATGCCATACATAAACAAAAAATGAACTTAGAACACATCATGGCGTTAATATAAATTTCAAATAAATTCTTCAAAAACAGGAAAAAAATGAGACTTCAAGTTAGACAAAGATATTTTAGATACACCTCTAAAAGCATGCCCATAAAACAAATTTATAAAATTTACCAAAATTACAAATTGACAAACTATACTTCACCAAACTTAAGAACTGCTTCCAAAAAGCAGTTAATAAAAAGACAAGCATATAAAGAGAAACGAAAATGAATCTTGATGTGAATGGAAGGGGAGAGGGAGTGGGAAAGGGGAGGGTTGCGGGTGGGAGGGACGTTATGGGGGGGAAGCCATTGTAGTCCATAAGCTGTACTTTGGAAATTTATATTCATTACATGAAAGTTTAAAAAAAAGAAAGGTATTTTATCTATACATACTATGAAAGTATTTAAATAATTTGTACTGTTATTACAATTTTCAAATTATAAAAGCTTTATTTAAAAATAAAATAAAAAGACAAGCATCAACATGTAAGAAATATTTTCATATCATATATATGATAAAGAACTTAAAATGAAAGTATACAAAGACCTCTCAACATGCAATAGGAAAAAGGTAGCTTACTTTTTAATGGACAACAGATTTTAATATACACTTTACCTAAGAAGATATGGGGAGAGGGATTACAATGGGCACAGAAAGTATTTGGAGACATTAGATATGAACTTAATCTTGACTATGATGATTGTTTCAAAGACACATACACATGGGAAAACTTATTAAACACTCTAATAGGCACAGTTTAATGTTTGCTGACTATTCCTCAGTAAGGCTACTACAAAATATTGAGAACTTCTGGTTCCCAAAGGCACCTTTCTGCTACATTATTTCTTCAGCTCCTACATACAATCAATAATTAATTCCTAACCATTCTATTTTCATTTTGGCTCTCCATTTCCATATCTATTACCCTACCCCATCTCTCACCTGTGTTACAATAACCTCTCTCCAATCTTCATCACTCCAACTCTCTTATCCATCCTGCAGCCAGAATAAACTTATAAACCATAAATCTGAGCATGTCACTAATTGCCCTGGAGACGTATTTCAAATTCCCTTAAGTGGTTCAGCTGACCCCTTCTCCCCAGATCCCCCACCTCACCCTTTCTTGCCCAAGCCCACTAATCAATCATGCTTCATGCCTGCATGGCTTTGCACATGCTGTTCCCAATTCACATGGTCCCTTTTGCCTTTCTCCAGTCCACTCATAGCCAGGCCTCCTAAGAGCTCAGAATCTGTCTCCAACCCCCTACTGGGCCACTTGCCCTTCCCTAAACTCCTGAGAATCTTATGCATATCTTTCCCAAGCACTCATTTCACTATCAGGTAATGTCCCTCATCAAACTGAATTGGAGCAAAGTGGATGAAAGCTTGAAATCATAGGCCAAGTGTGCTTTATCTTTACTTCCCCAAAGCTTGCCAGAGCAACAGAATGTGTGCCCTGAGATGAGTGAAAAAATGAATGAATGAAGAACTGATTTGAATGACTTCTCTTACATCACCTGAGTGGATTTCATGCTTCTCCTTTGCAAAAAGGTGGGCAGGTGAGAGCTTAAGTGACCTCTGCAGTATATTCTGGTAGAGTAAGCATTTTCTTTTTTTAATGCCCTGGAGGGGATCTCACTCTGGGAGTTTAAGGGCAAGTCTTAATTAAACTCAAATTGTGTTAAAAACTGATTTCAACTAAATGAAAGTTAGAAATGTGAACCAAATTCCAGGAAAAGACAAGGCCTATAGCACAAATTAACACAGGCCACCTCCCTGTAAACTTCCTGATTTCATCCAGAAAGACACAGCTCTCCACTCCACCCTTTGGGTGATTCCCTCCTCCCAATACACATTTTGACTTCCAAACCCAGCCATGAGGACTCTCCATCTCTCCCCCCTCTCAAAATCAGTCTCCACGCCCTTTTCATCCTGCAGGTCGAGCCCAACCAGCCATCCTCAGTAACAGTCCTATGGACCTCCCAGCAGGCTGCTTTCCTGGGCCAGCTTCTCCAACAGCCACGGTGACAAGAGCCAGCCAGGCCAGACTCCCAGGAGCCCATCAGCAGTCATCTGGAGGGAGACCCGGCCAGCAACTTAGAAAGGAACAATTAAAACATACACGTGGTGGATCCTAGGAAAGAGGGGGAAATCAAGCAAAGACAAAGCAAAGCTACCACTCAAAGAACCGCCACAGACTAACAGAATATTCTCTTCTTTCTTACTGATTTGCAGTGCAAAGGCATCATCACTTCACCACCCCCCCAGACCTCACATTTTCAAACTTGACCCACAGAGGACTGGTCTTCCGTTTGTTGGCCATGACTGACCCTTTAATTTAGGGACAAAAACAGTGTTAAGACATAAAAAGTGCTTTCGTGGAAAAGAGCCAAAGAGCAGGGAAATTCAACATTGTGCATCTTTTCCCATCTTTAATTAGTGAAATAAATAAAAACGGCAAGATGGGGTGAGCATTTGGCTAAGACACCCCTTGGGGTATCTGCCTCCCCTGCCAGTGTCTGGGTTCAAGACCAAGCTCCACTCCTGATTCCAGCTTCCTGTTAATGTGCACCTGGGCGACAGCAGGAAAGGGCTCAAGAAGCTGGGTCCCCACCACTTATTTGGGAGACCCATACTGCGTTCTGGACTCCTGGCTTCCACCTGGCCCAGCACTGGCAGTTTTGGACATCTGCGGAGTGAAGGAGCAGATGGAAGATCAGGCTGTATAAATGTTTCCCTCTCTAATTCTGATTCTCTGCCTTTCAAATAAAACAAGAGTAAACAAACAAAAAATGTTTTAATGGCAAGACTCCCCTCCCCCAGGCTTCTACCCAGAACTGTGAGCAAACAGCATTAGCCCATTTCAACTGAACCGCAGCTCAAGTATTATCACAAACCGCCAACAGCTGGAAAGCTACAAGCAGCCCTGGCCTTAAAATGCCTTAGGTAGCCACACTCAGGATTAAAAGGCTCCAAAAATGCTTGGAGGAACGTCAAAAGGGGCCGTAAGGGGGCAGGGAGGCTAAGAGAAGACCTGGCCAGAGAGGAAGGACCCTGGGCTCAAGGGTAGCTGGGGTATGCAATGAAGGCCGGACCGCCCTGCCCTTGGAGTGGCCAGACGGGCGCCTCACCCAGGAGATGATAGAGGGGATTCAACAAAGTCCTGGCTGGTGTGAGGCTTAAAGGACTGAAGGCCCCGGCCGGTGCGCCCCCGGGGCGGCTGACCCTTCTTCCTGGTCGTGTGCGCCGACAGCCTGCGCGCCTGCAAACGCCCCTGGTGCCCACGTGGGACTGGGAGGAGGGTCACTTACTTGTCCAATCTGAAATTACATTTTAGCTAGAGGGGCCTGCACATTTCCGCGCTGAGCCATACCGCACCGGGACTGGGCGGGCCTTGTCCCGCCCCGCCCCGTCCCGCGCGCGTCCCCGCCCCCGCCGGCCGCGGCCCCTGTAAAGCGCGCTCCGATTGGTCCTTCGAACCGGGCCCGGCATTGGCCAGCGTCGCCCGCCCTGCTGCGTCCGGCTCCTGCAGCCCAGTGGGTGGCGCCGGCGGCAGCGGGGCTCCACCTGGGCTCCTTGTCCTGCGCTGGGACCTGGCCTGGCAGCTGGAGAGCTAGGTCTGCCCCGCTTTGGGTACCCATCTCCAGAGCTCAGCCAGGAAACCCTCGGCAGCCCCGGTAGGGGTGTGTGTCCAACTCTGCTTGGCCCCTGTTTACGCAGCACTACTACCGATATGGGCCAGTGGGAACACTAATGATACTTGCTGAATGCCTCCTTTGTGCTCCTGAGCCTCTATAGCGTCCCATTTCTTTGAGCAGTTGACCACCAGCGGTTTACTGTGGTGGGTCTTGGACACGGAGCTCGCTTCATCCTCACCGTCACACACCTTGCCTTTGCAGTAGACCTCAGCTATGTATCCCTGTTTTGTCTATGCAGAGAGCCAGGGACGTGCTTAGAGCGTTCTGGGACAGAGCTAGCAAGCGAGGCAAGGCAGGCAGCGAGAGGACAGTACCAAGGTGAGCTCCAACCTGAGCTGGTTCCCTTATAAAAAGGCAGGTTCCGGGGCGGAGGGGACTCCCGATTTAAAGATAGCTTGTCTAGCATGGAGGCCCAAGACTTTTGTGTTCCAAGGACACTGAGGTCCAGAAAAAGGAACTGATCTGTCAGGACACACCAGTTATGAGAGGCAAGTCTCAGTAGCAGTGACTTCATCGAATTATGGGCCGAAAAGGAAACAGGTCCTCTTCTCTTGGTCCTACAGGTGGGGGTACTGGAAACCCAGTCTTTGTGCTACGTGGCTGGGAGAGATCCTGGCTTGGGATCCTTTTCTTCATCAGGATTGTCCACCTTTCATTTCCCACAAATATCTGAAGACCTAGAAGTGAACTTGAGATCTGCTACTTAACAGTTGTGTGAATCAAGTATACAACAGGATCATCAATAAGACTTGTCCATCTTACATTTCCTGTGAAGAGCAAATGAGGGAATAGATGTGAAAATGCTTTCTAGTGTAAGATGCTGAGTGCCCGTGAGCCATAGTTTTCAGATACCCCAGGAATGAAACCAATAGTAGGTGTTGCTTGCCTCACAAGCCACAGCAGGGAGTCTCTCCATGGCTTGACTTGAACTAGTGTGGATTTGCTGCCTGGCCTCCAGGGATGGCTCTGTTTCTGGGATTTTTTGCATTTTATTTTTTATTTGTTTCCTCTTATTGTCATACTGTCCATAGCAACAAGAGCATAGTGACTGGAGCTCCAACAGCCATCTTGGATCTTGAAAGGACCCCAGGAATGAAAGCCACACAAAGCAAAGCAACAAGGTGAAAGACCCTGGGTACCTAATGCCAAAGGGCACAAGACCACAACCACCTGCTCTTTTCCAAACCTCCACATGAATAAAGGAAACAGTTTCCTTAGATAAGACACATTTATTTTAGTTTTCTGTTACATAGAGCCAAACCTCATCATATATATCTGACCTCATGCAACTCTTAGGGCAACCTTATAGAGCAGACACAGGCCCAGTGAGTATAAATAACTTGTTCAAGGTCATTCAGCCAACTTGCCAAGGTGAGTCTAAACTGGGTTTGTCTGAGTCTAATTCTATTTCTCTTTTTCAGTTATTATGTGTTACCTAGTATGAATGAATGAATCTGTTTTTCCATTTACTTCCATTCCATTCATTTTTTTTTCTCTTAAGATTTGTTTATTTGAAAGGCAGAGTTGAGAGAGAGAGAGAGAGAGAGAGAGAGAGAGAGAGAAAATCTTCCATTCATGATTCAATCCCCAAATGACCACAATGGCCCATTGGGCCAGTCTAAAACCAGGAGCCAGGACCTTCCTCTGGGTCTCCCACATGAGTGCAGGTGCCCAAGAACTTGCTGTCATCCACTGCTTTCCCAGGTGCATAGGCAGGAAGCTGGGTCCAAAGTGGAGAAGCCCAGACTCAAACCAGTGCCCATATGGGATGATGGCATCACAGTACCAGCCCCCATTCCATTCATTTTTTTCCAGGAAGTGAGAGGGGTTTTCTATAAAGGACGAGATAGTAAATAAAGAGACTGTGAAGTCTTTTGTGTGTATTGACACTCTGAAGTATAAAAGCAGCCATGGACAATAGGAATCAAGTGAGTGTGACTGTTAGAATAAAACTTTATTCACAAAAATAAGCAACAGATCCATGTGGCCCATGGGCCTTAGTTTTCTAGCCCCTGATTTCTTCCGTGATATTCCTTTAAAAGCGTATTAGAAACTCATTACAGACGGCAAGGGGACTGGACATTGCAAGCACACTCATCTTGTTGGTTAACATAAAGGCAGTGACAGTGTGATTCAGAAGATCCCCAAACAGATAGTCACACAATGTGGGCTATGAGTTCATGCAGCTTGAGTGTATCCCCCCAGATCCCCACGCAGCAGTGTTGGGAAGTGGGGGCCTAAAGAAAGCTGATTAGATCACAGGGGTTCCCCTTTCAGTAAATTAATGCTATTATCTCAGAAATGGGTTCAGGTCAGGGGTGGGTTCCTTATGAAAGGGAGGATTCTCTCTCTCTCACCCTTTCTCTTATCGTCTCACTTTCTACTACAGAATAACATAGCAGGAAGGCCCTCATCAAATGCCAGGACCCTAAAACTGGACTTCCCTAGTTTTATGAAAAATCAACTAAGTTACTCAACTTCAGGCATTCTCTAAGAGCAGCACAAACGAGATCTATGACCTGGACCACCCCCAGTTGCCTTAGTTTCTCTGTATTCATAGAAACAAGTAAAAATAAAAGTGTTACCCAAATTTCCCCAATTTCCAGGGCTATATGGGAACTAAGTAATCATATGTTGAAAGCTATACCTGCTATCCAGTCATATGTACGTAGCTTCACATCAGGCTGGGCCTCATATCCTCCTCTGTTCCCTGTCCTTTTCTCTGTCATAGACTACATCAAATGCCTAGTAAATATTAGTACATGTATCTATCCTTTTTGCTCCTCTCCAGCTCTACCTGAAGGGTTATTGCATGGCATGACTCCATTATTGCTAAGTCTAGATATCCACTCACGGTTATTGGCAGGCAGCATGGGAATTGTGCAGTGTCATTGTCCACTAAGCACTCCACAAGTCACACCAGTGAAGCAGCATGTCAGATTTCAGCAAGATAGAGAGAGCTGGGTTGTGAAACCCTGGAACCAGCTGAACTGGATGTCTGTGCAATTTCCTTCCTGCTCAGATATGGTTCCATGGGTCCTGCTCTGGGAGGGAGTGAAGAAGGAGACCTGTTGTTCCCTCTGGTGACCCGTGGAGGCGCTGTGAGTCTCTAATGGCAATCTTAAAGGATTTCCTGTATTCACAACCCCACAACCCAAGAGACATTTTCCTAGAGTCTTAGAGTCATGGCGTAGGAGTGGATATTACTATGCATTTATTCATTAATACGTTTAGCTATGCAGTCGTTTATTTTTAAATCGTTATTTATTTTCATTTTATTTGAAAGGCAGAGAGAGATAGAAAGTGAGAGATGTCTTCCATTTGCTGGTTCACTGCCCAAATTCCTGAAACAGCATGGTTCAGCCAGATCTAAGCCAACATCCAGGAACTCCATCGAGTGGTAGGGTTCTAAGTACTTGAGCCTTACCTGCTGCCTCCCAGGATGTAAATTAGCAAGAAGCTGGGCCAGAAGCAGAGAAGCCAGGACTCTAACCAGGCACTCTAATATGGGATGTAGACAACCCAAGTGATGACTTAAGCTGCTGCACCAAACTCCCACCATGTATTCATTCATTCAACCAAGATTCATGGAGCATCTATGCTTCTAGACTCTAGAAGGGCAATGCTGAGATGAACAGACATTGTCCCCATCCTTGTGATACTGGCAGGAACAGACATTAAAGAACTAAACATGAAGATATATAATTGATTCATATGTAAGTAAGAAGGAAAATAAAATGCTGTGACAGAGGGAACATGATTTATATTGAAGCCTAAGTTGGGTGATTTTAAGGAATGCAGTACTTTACATCATCCTTGGCCTTGAAAACCCTGTGAAGTGCCTATTATCACATCCACTTACATATACAGAAACAGGGTTAGGAAACTTAGATGGTGGTCTAAGGCATCACTGCTGGTAAGTTTGGAGAGAGCTGAGCTCTGTCCGCCACTCCATGCTGCTTGATAAAAATCCAGGAGGGAGGAATTCCCCTGCTTCCCACTTTGCACATGCCATGTCTCCTTCCACCTGGAATGCCTCGCCCTTTATTTCTCTGCTGGGTGCACCCTCTGCCACCAGCATCTGATGCAGGACCCAGTTCCTCTGTGACATTTGCCCTTCTACATGAGTCTTCATTAAGTCTCTTTCCTTTTAGATCTCTGTAACAATCATCAACTATTACTCACATGGCACAGAGCCTGGAATACCTTGTTGGTTAGTTCTTTTTTACATGCTTGCCCTGACATCCTTACTCATAGTCCTCAGGCAGCCCATGCAGACTTAAGTTATCCTCCAAGATCTTCTACTTGTTTAATGAGTTGGAAAAAATGACTTAACCTCCATGAGCCTTCGTTTCTCCTTGGAGATTAATATTTGTTTCTTGACATAATATTTTTAAATTTTTCAAAATTTTTTATCAATATAAAAAAACAGGGGCCAGCATTATGGCACAATGGGTTAAACTACCACTTGTGACACCAGCATCCCATATTGGTACTGGCTCATGTCCTGGCTGTGTCACTTCTGATCCAGCTCCCTCCTAATATGCCTGGGAAAGCAGCAGAAGATGGCCTAAGTGCTTGAGCCCCTGC